GTGCAGAAGAGCTTGCGTGGGGGGGGGGGGCGCTCTGGAATTCTGACTTTTGTTTCTGCTGTGTTTCCAGTGTTTCTTTATCGATGTAACTGAAGCCTTCGACCTTGAGTGTCTGGTATACTTTTCTCCTGAGAATTATTGCCTGTTACTTTGGTGGGTTTCTACCTGGCCTCTGATTGGACCTGAGCCATCGGGGGACCCTCTTGAATAATGTATACCTGCTTGCTACGCGCGCTTTGGGGCAGTTCTAACACTGAAAGTGTTAAGACATCTGCATTCTCTCAGTGTCCTCAAGAAACTTTACTTCTTTGAATGAAAGCTGTTGGGAACGGATTGTTGCATGGGTCTGACCAGGGCTATTTTGGGGCAGGAACGCACAGGAACGGAGTTCCGGCTGGCTTCAGAGTTGGCCACGCCCACTACCGCCAAAACCTCTGCATGCCTGGCTACAGAGGGAAGGCCTGGAGAGCGACGCCCCTGGTGACTCCAAGGCGGGCGGGCCAGGGGGGTCCCTGGAAGGATCAGGAAGGCATTTAAATGCCCCCCTGTGCCTTCCCAGACCTGTCCAAAGGCCGGCTTGTCCAAGGGAAGGCACGGGGGTGTGGCCTAATATGCTAATGAGCTGCACTGTCAAGGGTGTGGCCTGTTATGCTAATGAGTTCCTGCTGGGCTTTTTCTACAAAAAAAGCCCTGAGTCTGACCATGCAACCCTTCCTGCCCTCCCTTCTCGTGATCTCCCTAAGTTCACAGAATCAGCACTGCTGTCAGATGGCCATCGAGCCTCCAAGGAAGTCCAGGGTTGCTACGCAGAGGCAGGTGATGGCAAACCACCTCTCTGTTTGCCCTGACCTGGAGGCCCCAGGCCGGCCCTATCTCACCAGACCTTGGAAGCAAAGGAGGGTCGACCCTGGTTGGGACTTGGGTGGGAGACCGCCAAGGAAGTCCAGGGTCGCTATGCAGAGGCAGGCGAGGGCAAACTACCCCTCTTTGTCTCTCGCCCTGAAAACCCTACCGGGGGTCACTAAACAATCAGCGACTACACAGTAAACATGATAAGACCCAAAAATAAAAACGTGTGCAGAAGGACGCTAAGAGCAGAACAAAATAATAAAACAATTTACTAATGAGTAACAACAAAAGGAGTTCCAGCTCCTGCCAACCTAGCAGTTCGAAAGCAAGAAATTGCAAGTAGATAAATAGAGACCACTTCGGTGGGAAGGGAACAGCGTTCCGTGCGCCTTGGCGTTTAGTCATGCCGGCCACATGACCACAGAAAAACGTCTTTGGACAGCGCTGGTTCTTCGGCTTGGAAACGGAGATGAGCACCACAGCCCTAGAGTCGGATTCGACTGGCTTTCGAGCAAGGGAACCTTTACCTTTACCTTTACCAACAATATAACGGGTAGTAATACTTCAACTACATATGTAGTATTCTTCTTTGAAATATTACTACCAGTTATTGTTGATACTCACTAGTAAATTGTTTTATTGTTTTGTTCCACTCTTAGCGTCCTTCTGTACAGCTTTTTTTTTTGGTCTTATCAGCCCTACGGGGTCGTCCTAAGTCAGCTTAACAACACTTTGCATGCACACCCAAATTACAACACAAACAGCCATTTCTAAAATAGGTGCCTCCCACTGACGGGACAACCGTAAAATTCAGAGAGGAGTTAAGCATCGTCCAGTTTCCTCAGGCAAAGAAGTCAAACCACACTACTGGGGTGGGGGGGGGAGGTAATTGTGCAGTGAGACTTCCTACCGACGTGATCGGGCAATGTGAGCGAAGATTACAGTTTGTAGTTCTGATCTGCAGGCCGCCTCGAGACATGGGGACACGCGAAACACGAATCTTTTAACTAATAAATAAGATTTCCTCACTAAGCCAGCCAAGTTAAAGATGGAGCCAGATGGCTGCCTTCTTTTTTTTAAGGGCATTCCCTTTTCTCCACATCCCCTTTCTCATTTTTGTGTATTATTTTCATTTACAGTCCATCTATCTCACGGGGACCTAAGGCGGGTTGGATGCTGAGACGACCCAGAAAGGAACATCTTATAGTGGTGGTGGTGGAGAGACCAGCCCAAAGCACCAACAATTAAAATACCAGAGAGCCTGGCAGCAGAGAGCTCTTTTTCCTCCCGTTATTGTCGTTTGGGCACCGTGACTTAGTTCCAACCACCCTTCCCTGCACCACTCAGAGTGAGACAGCGCCCTCTAGTGGGCCCCTCCGCACCACTGCACAAACGTCGGCCGTCCGGTACCTTGGAGAGCTCCTGCATCAGGGTGCTGTTCTGTAGCCTGAAGTCGTCTTCCTGGCTGTGCAGTTTCCCCTGAAGCATTTCGTTTTCGCTCAGCAAGGCATCCACCTCCTGCGGGAAGAGGAGTCAAAGGTACCGCGTGCATAATCGCTACAGGTCTCGGCCCCGGCCCCTAGAGGGCAGCACTTCATACTCAAACCAAGCAATGCCAGGAAACGCCCTCCCTTGCAGGTTGCCTTACTGCCTTCCCCATAAGATAGCTCTGCTCTCTGGGCAAGGAGCACTCAGTGAAAGGTGGAGTGGCCACAGTCACAAGGGGGAGTAGAGGTAAAGGAGCAAGCGGGGGCATGAAGTTGCCAGTTCTGCTTTCAGCAATTCCTGGAGATTTGGGGGTGGAGCCTGGAAGGGCGGGGTTTGGGGTGGGACCTCGGCTGGGAACAATGCCATAGAGTCCATTGTCCAAAGCAGCTATTTTCTTGGAGGGAGCTGATCTCTCGTCTGGAGACCAGTTGCAATTCCAGGAGATCTCCAGGCCCCACCTGGAGGCTGGCAGCCCCAGGGGGGCACTATTCAAAGGGAAGAGTGTATAATTAAATCCCTACGGCGGTACACTCGGGAGTCTGCAGGATCCCTTTATTGTTACTATTATTTCTATTTAAACAAAGAAGGAGAAGGAGAAGAAGAAAGAAGAAAGAAGAAGAAGGAAAAAGGAAGGAGAAGAAGAGGAAGAGGAGGAGGAGGAGGTTGGATTTATATCCCGCCCTTCACTACCCAAAGGTGTCACAGAGCGGTTTACAATCTCCTCTCCCCACAACAGACACCCGGTGAGGGAGGTGGGGCTGAGAGAGCTCTGACAGGAATGGCTCTTTTTCGAGAACAGCTCTTCTCAGAACTACGGCTTGCCCAAGGTCATCCAGCAGGTGCAAGCGGTGGAGTGGGGGAATCAAACCCGGTTCTCCCAGAGTAGAGTCCGCGCACTTAACCACGACACCAAACTGGCTCTCCATCCCAAATCATCTGGAACAGACAACGGGGTCAGGGAATCAGCTTAGGAGATACCAAGAGGCTAATCCTCCCCCCACCACCCTTGTTATGGGGAGGTGGAGCACCTGAAGACCAGGAGAGGCTGTGCAGGTAGGCAGAAGAGGAAACCTTTGGGTGATGACGCAAGGATGAGAGCACGGGAGGGAATGTGGCACGGAGCTGGGAAGCAACGAACGCACAGGAAGCTGCCCTCGGTCCATCCAGGTCAGTATTGTCTA